CCTAGATACATGCGGGCCTGGTTATATACTTTTTTTAAAATACGAGAATGTGCACAAAACTTCACTAAACTTCTGTATTCACCCATAAAAGGGGAGGTCGACAGGTTGCGTTGTTTTAGCTAGGTTGCGATATCTGCACCTTCTGGCCCAACACATCCAATTTCAGTACACACTTACCTCCTTTTACAACACGCTTATTAAATGCTGGTGGTTCAGTTTTTGAAAGTGTCTTGTCTGTTGGTTTAAAACCAAGTTATCATCAGTCAAACTGCAAGAGTAAAAGCTATTCTCAAAGATAACTGTAAGCAATCACCAATTTTCCATCCTCAGTTGTAAATAGTTATCAATACAAAAACATTTTGCAACCAACAAACAATATTTGCATTCTCTACAGGTCTCCACAGTGAAGTTATCCAGTGCTTTGAAGGTCATTTTCAGACTGCATAATTTGTTCACAAGTTACATTTCTCAGAAATCCCTGAGGGTCATTGCTGGGCTATGGTGTTCATATTCTAAGTTTTGTCTTCTGTGCTTGCCCTCAGAAGGGTGGTTGGGATGTTGTGTTGTGGTTTACAGCTAGGACAACAAACCTGATTTCAGTAAACCCTAATTAGTCGCATTTTATGACATGCCTGTTTGACACCAGTGGGTCTATTTTTTGCTCTTCAGAAGGTGATCATAGAACTCACACAGGGAGGATTCTAAGTAATGCTCCTGGCAGGCAGCAAGGCCATCTGTGGAGACAGACTGAGCCATAGTGGGTATAACTCATTAAAATAAAGTAAATTATCTCACCTCTATATCCAACTATATCCAATGTAAAGAAATGCCACCCAGCACAAGAAGTTTATAAAGCAAAATGTACCATGGTCAAAACCACTGGCATAAAATATTCAGGTGTTAGGAAATGAACTGGCAGGCAGACTGACTGGTTCTGCACCACTTCATGCTAAATGATGCATGGCAAGCTAGATGTGGTCAAGGCTCTTTGAGAGCGAGTGAACAGTGCAGAAACATAAATAGACCATCACAGTTTGAGGAGAATATTTCAGTGGGAAGTGAAAAGCAGATCTGGCGGACACTCAACACACAGAGGAAAAGCAAAATTAACATACTATCAGACCGTTACTGGTTGGAATTGAAACTTTACACCAGCTGCTGAAGATAGGAAGGGAGTGCTTATGAGAATATACACACACAAAAATGGTTGCCAATACCCACCATATCGAAGCGAACTTTGAGATCTGCAGCGCTGGATTTGAGCTTCTGGAACTGTTGGTTGGCTTCATCTTGTGTCTTGTCATTCTTATCTCGGTGTTTGGTGTTTTCAGAAACCAGAAGTTCTGCTTGGTTGATAACTGCTTGGATCTCTGGCTCTTTCTTGTTGATTTCTTCTTTTAAACCCTAGGAAGGGAAAAAGTGACTAATTTTAATTGTATGGTTTCAAAATTATGATGTTTAAAAAAGTTGAAAAAAACACTCAGAACTCTTTTCTTGTTACTGACACATTAGGAATGTGGTGCCTGATCCATATTTTAATAGAACAATTGACACTCAGTGGGTTAAAGGTTAAAGTCGAGAGGACTGACTTCACTGCACAGAGTTTTATCCCATATGACTTGGTCTCTCTAAGCAGAACGGCTAGCAACCTGCCGAGAGCACCACGCAGAGAACAAACTCTGTAGCTTTGGTGACCATTCCCCAGGGATCTCTGTAAAAATTGCACCCATGAATTGAACGATGCAGGCGTGAAACCAGCCCATGACCGTTAGTGGGTGATATGATCAGTATCATACCAGCCATCTTTACTTTCCATGTTAAAAGTTAGTTGGGTATCTTTTACGGGATGTTGCAGATCCAACCCCAGCATTGTCTGGCTGTTGTGGTTTTTTTCTAGGCAAATTTTATGTTCAGTAATTTGCCACTGCTTCTGAATGGTCAGCTCTCTGTGCCACTGTCGAAACCAACGCAAGACTAATCGCTCGGAGCTGGGTGATGATGATTACATTATGAAGCATGTTCGCAACGCCTAAGCCACGGATGCCAATTTCCTTAATATACAATATAATAAATAAATGTTAAAAAACAGCCCCAAAAAATTAGGATCTGTTCCATAAGAACTTAATCATCATCACCATGTTGTGCCATTATGTGTCACATAGGATTCGCATTCTCTCCTCCTCCTCCTCCTTCACATTGATTGGCTGTAAACTTCAGGGGGAAAGTTGTGGTTGTTTGTCCACTTCTGGACTGTAGCTTTCTTACAGTACTTGCTTGAGTTTTACATGGCACAGTTTTACAGATCTGGCTTATTTGTCCACAGACTCTTGATTCCTTGCCTCTCAGGCAGATGCACTCGGACTTTGAATTATTCGACTCTTGCGACATACTTGTAAGGAAGCCAATGGGACTATTTTTGTTTTCTCTCACAACAGAGCCCTGGAACCCAAACAAGGGCATTCCATTCTATCCTGTATAATTCTTTAGATTTCATGGATGAAATCTAGTCTAGCACCTTTGGCCTCTCTAATCAACATTCACTTTAGGGTTTCACCTCTATTTCCTCATTTCTTCAATCAATTTGTTTCCCATTTGTGTGCCTGTTTGATGATTCTCTGTTCAATTCTTCTCAGGATCTGCCCAAGTAACGACATCTTCTTTATCTTAAAACTATTTATACCAGCGGTAAATTTTGTCAAATAAAAGAACTCACTAATGGAGAAGCCTGATTCTGAGATGAAGGGAATAAAGGACAATGACACTGAAATCATAATCATCATCATCAAGAAACACTTACCAAACAATCACCTGCTTGCTGTTTCAATCTCTCCAACCTCTCACTGGGTCGTCCATGGGAGGCCAGTACTTTCTCCACATCTGCCAACCAATCAGTGTTCTCTTTCACCTGTTAGATAAACAGAACATCTATCAGGAAAAGATACCAAACTAAACGAGAAGCATAACTAGTCAACTGCTTTGAAATGCTTCTTCTCAGATGCACAACTCTTAACCAGTCTGCAGTACATTTCTCCTCTATCCCTATTCCCTTTCTGACCTTTACCCTCCATGCAAACAGTCTGTGGCATCCTGTTCCTACCAATACACCTCAATATTGGTATCACTCATGTCCCGCTTGCACAACATCTTTATATCATGGTAGAGGCCAGCCTCGACATCTACCCATTTGTAATTCACCATAAAGGATGTCCTTAAGGACTACCATTCTCTGTCCTCCAAGTGTGTCCTAGCATTTTGGAAAAAACTTTTGAGATACCTGCACTATCCAATACTTCAGGGTTTTTGTGTAGTCTTGCCACTTTATGCCAAGTATTCATCACATGTAAAAGCTATTTAGTAGTTTCTCCTGATACAAAAAAGTCGCCCAAGATTTACTACTATAGACTGCTTGATGATACGCAAGCTTGATGACAGATATATGTAAGATGACATATGTGCTTAATAAGAGACAAGCTTGATGACAGACATGTGCATGATGACAGACAAGTTTGACAGACAAGTTTGACAGACAAGCTTAATGACAGACAAGTTTGACAGACAAGCTTAATGACAGACAAGTTTGACAGACAAGCTTAATGACAGACAAGTTTGACAGACAAGCTTGATGACAGACAAGTTTGACAGACAAGCTTAATGACAGACAAGTTTGACAGACAAGCTTAATGACAGACAAGCTTAATGACAGACAAGATTGATGACAGACAAGATTGTGGGACAGACAAGCTTGATAAGAGACAAGCTTGATGACAGGCAAGCTTGACAGACATGTGCATGATGACAGACAAGTTTGACAGACAAGCTTGATGACAGACAAGTTTGACAGACAAGCTTAATGACAGACAAGCTTAATGACAGACAAGATTGATGACAGACAAGATTGTGGGACAGACAAGCTTGATAAGAGACAAGCTTGATGACAGGCAAGCTTGACAGACATGTGCATGATGACAGACAAGTTTGACAGACAAGCTTGATGACAGACAAGTTTGACAGACAAGCTTAATGACAGACAAGCTTAATGTCAGACAAGATTGATGACAGACAAGATTGTGGGACAGACAAGCTTGATGACAGACAAGATTGTGGGACAGACAAGCTTGATGACAGACATGCGCAAGATGTCAGATTTGCTTAATGACAGACAAGCTTGAGGACGGACAAGAGCTTAAGGACAGACAAGCTTGAGAACAGACAAAAGCTTAAGGACAGACAATCTTGATGACAGACATGCGCATGATGACAGACAAGCTTGTTGACAGACATGCGCAATGACAGATAAGTCTGACAGACAAGCTTGTTGACAGACATGCGCATGATGACAGACAAGTCTGACAGACAAGCTTGATGACAGACAAGCACTTTATGACAGACAAGTGCTTGATGACAGACAAGCGCTTGATGACAGACAAGTGATTGATGACAGACAAGCTTGCAGACAAGCTTGGTGACAGACAAGCTTAACAACAGATGAGCTTGATGACAGATGAGCTTGATGACAGGTAAACTTGACAGACAAGCTTGATGGCAGACAAGCTTGATGACAGACAAGCTTGATGACAGATGAGCTTGATGACAGATGAGCTTGATGACAGGTAAACTTGACAGACAAGCTTGATGACAGACGAGCTTAATGACAGATGAGCTTGATGACAGATGAGCTTGATGACAGACGAGCTTGATGACAGGTAAACTTGACAGGCAAGCTTGATGGCGCTTGATCATCAACAAGCCTAATGACATACAAGCTTACCCCCCCCCCCCCCCATTTATTCTAGGTCAACATCCTGCAAAGAACCTGCTACATGATAAATCTGCAGCTGAGCACAGCAAGGTAGACACATTTCTGTCAGAAGAGATTGAAAACCACCTATGAGGATGTGGAAGATATGGGAAAAGCATCACATCTTTTTAACAATAAATTTTTAAATTCTCACAGTACACTACAAGAGATAATGAAAAACTATGCAGGTGAAGGTGCATACCTCAACCAATGACTGCACAACAGCCTCATCTGACATCAAGAGCACATCTCCAGTCTCTGGGTCAACAGTCACCCTTGACCCCATTGTCAAGAACCCATTGGCCAGGGCATCCCGGAGAGACATCCGAAGATCATTGGCAGCAACAAAGTCAACAGCCCGAGGGTTCACTTTACCAGAATCTATCAGGTCCTTGAGAGCTGAAGAAGTGTCCACATACTTTTCTGGATCCACAAATGGTATAATTATCCCCCATGCTATAGCTTCACGTAGGCTCATAGACTGCCCAGTTGTTACATCAATGAATTGTCCAGAAACAGGATCAAACTTCCCTTTCTCAACCAAAGCTCCAAGAGTGGTGATGTTCCCCGTTTGCTGATCCACCAAATATACATAGTCTGGGTTGCTGATGCCAGCTTTCTTTGCTGCGTCTACTTGCACCTTCTGTTTAGAAGTGGGATTAATATACTTTCCAGAATTAGGGTCAATGAGTCCCGTAGCAATTTCTTGCTCCAGTGAATGCAGATTAAAGGCAGAAAACAGAGCTAGGGCTACACTGGGTTCAACACGCTCCATCTCAACTGCAAGCTGAAGAGGAACCACCCCGACAGATTTCTCATCGGCATAACAAGATGTAGGTAAATGGATTGCTCCTAGAGTTATGGCTTCTTCTACAGACACCATGTCACTGACATTGAGAATCTTAATGCCTCTCATATTTGTATCCATGTAGCCTCTCAACAAAGCTAAACTCTCTGCCCTTTCCACAATCTCCTTCGGGTTAATTTCTGAGCAAATCTGTTTACTAGCTTGTGCTTGGCTGACACTTAACCTTTCACCTGTGGCAGTGACAATCTGACCAGATTTTTCATCAAGGCGACCTGATTCTTCTGCTTCAGCAAGACTAAGCACTCGATTCCGGGCAAGGTCATAGAAATATGTAGCATCTGGGTCAATAATTTTGTTCTGAATTGCAGCTTGCAGGGTCATTGCCTTTCCGGTTGTTAAGTCCATTACAAGTCCAGTGTCTGGATCAAACCTACCGGAACTAATCAAACTGCCCAAAGTGGAATCTGTATAAGCTTTTAGAATCTCCTCCAATAAGGAAGCATCAATGAATCCCCTGGCACAGGCTTCCGTTAATGAAATAATATCACCGTCCTGTGTTCTGAACATTCCACTAGCTAAATCAATAACTCCACTGTCAACTGCATCCTCCAAAGAGACTGGCTTTCCAGTTCTGGGATCAACTACTGTGACCTTGGAAGAACCAACTGCAGCTCGGAGTTTGTCTAGCATGACTTCATTCTGATCTGGCTTGACCAGGTCACCATTCATCAAAATGGGCTCTCCAGCTTTGAAAGTCTGTTTTCTCACCTGCAGCTGTTGGTATGTAAGCACATCATTAGAGTCAAGGTCTCTTTTAGAATCAAATGGTCTTCCTTTAATAAGCCCTTGTTTCATGGCTTCCTCTATTGACATCACTTCCCCAGTGCGAGGGTTTTTGTAGATACCCAGCACGGGATCAATGAATCCAGCACGAACTGCCTCTTCTAGTGTCATCTCTTCTCCAGTCAGCGAATTAATGATCCGAGATACTTTGTATTTGACATCTTCTAAAACAATTGACGTGTAGCTCTGGTACATGGGTCCGTCCACCTCATCCTCACCATCCAGCAATGAGGCATCTGCCATCAGATAGCCTGCACTGACAGCATCTAAGAGTGATAACTCTTCCCCAGTCACTGGATTATGGAACTTTCCTGGAAAGACAACAGAATAAATATAAAGCTGTAATATATTTCCCTATTTGTGTTCTTTCAAATGTTTAATTTCATTAGGAAAGGATAATTTCAATTTCACCTACTTCCTTAAGTGCTCTGGTCTTCTTGTACAGTTCCCAGAAGGATCCACTGCATTTTACTTAGATACCTTACTGCTTAGATCTCCAATGTTTACAGAATATAGAATGTTGAATTAAAAATTGACATCAGAGCACTCGGGCACCCCCCATAAGTGTTCCGTCCCCATCTTCAGCAGCAAGTGAAGAGAATTTCGATGGCACCAGTAATTGTCTGATTGTATATCCATCTAGCCTATTCCCTGAGTGTTGAGCACCGGCCAGATCCCCTTGTACTCCTAGCAGCACCATTCTCCTCAGACTGTTATGATCTATCTGTTCTGGAACACCCCATAAACATCAAAAGTAGATGTAGCTGCATTTGACCAGGTATCTTTCTGTGGCAGGAGCTCTTCCCTTTTAAAAAAAAAACAGAAATAATCTTCTCTAGCACCTTGCCAAAAGTATTTTGTAGAGTGATAATTCTGAAAACCGCTGAGTCTGGAATGATATTTGCACCCTTACTTTGCATCTGTCTGTGAAGTTTCCAAAACCTGCCCAGTGATTTATCCCCTCCAATTTCCCTCATAAAATGTCCCCATTTAGTCTTCTATGCATCTGCTGCAAACCGCTTGAACTCTTCTACATTTCCTTTCTCACTGTCTAGCTTCTCTACATCCTCTTTTAACTGTAAGTGCCTTTCACACCTTCTGTAATTGCTTAGCTGCTGCTCGTTTTGCTCTCCATGACTCTTCTACTTCTTGGGTCCACCATGAATGCTGCACAAAAGCAGAGATAGTGGTTTTGCTGCATACTTTCTATCGGAGGCGTCCAAGAAGGGTACTGTCCCTCTCATACTTAAAAGTCTTGCGTGTTCTCACAACCTTGATCTTGCTAGCTTTAGAAATCAAGACTCTGCATGGTGTCGTGGAATGATAAGCCATTACACATCACCCCTAAAGAGTAGGGACCTGTACTACCTGTGCTCGACACAACATTCAAACTTGGACTCGTCCGGAAAGGTATATAGTCCCTTATATCGATATATGCCTTTATCGGACATAATGATAATGTCTACATCTTCTAGTTGCTTTGACTTAGCGTCATTTTCAAATTTGCAACTATTTGATAAATATTACTGGAGTTATTTGACTATTTTTAGAAACCAGTTTACTCCTTGCTCATGTATACAAGGAACTTCTTCTTACCAAAGCCTGAATTGAAAATTTTGCGCCATTGTTTCTGCCAGCTTTCCTAGCGTTCAGATGTATGCATCGACGCCAGAAAGTTTGCCTTAATGTTTTACTGCAATACTCTACAGTTTTATTTAGATACTGACAGGGTCCTGTGTGGCTATGAGATGTCATAGTATGATGATGATGAATCAGCGGGTTAGCACTCAGTTTACAGAGACCTGGTCAAGTGTTCAGTGACATGCAAAGACTGCCACCAGAATACTGTATCTGGGTGAGAAGGTCACTCACTGTTTCACGGGGCTGTGACTAACCAAGCCTGAACGTTTTGACCGGACATAGGGTCTTTTGGGGGAGATAGGTGAGAAGACTTTTAGACGGGTCAGATGCTGTAGCTGACCGCTAGATATTTAAGGTGTTAGACTGGCAACAGGTTTTCATGTAACAATGCGTTTAGTCGGCCAGTAAGATATTTATAGTGTTAGCCAATGTTTAGCTGTTGTGTTAACTTGTGTAGCAATCCATTGTGTGTTAAACACTGCTTTAGCGAAAGTGGTTTCACGCAGGGTTTTGTATGGTTAAGTGATGAGGTCTGTCCACTTACACCAGCCATGTGGTAGCACAACAGTCCTACTGTAAGGTGCAGGAGCTTCAGAAAAAAACTTGAAAGGGGGACTGTTTGGTTCAGACCTGGATTGTAACCATAAGGTCATGAGGGACAGGTGCACAAGAGGTTTTGTAACTTGAACCACTTTCCCCCAGATAAACCGCTTTCACGGCAGTAAAGTTGATTCCTGACAGATACCATAAAGTTAGTTTTACTTCAACACCTTAATGATGTAATTTAATATCCTAATGATGTAATTTAATACCTTAATGATGTAATTTAATACCCTAATGATGTAATTCAATTCCTCAATGTGTAATTTAATTCCTTAGTGATGTAATTCAATACTTCAATGTTCTACTTAGATAGTGATGGATGATGATGATAGCTGTATGAAAATGACTTGCACAAGTACTTCGATTTAAGTGAGGAAGAGATACTAAGATAATATAATTCAGAAGTGAGTGCCCTAAAAAATAACCAACCAAACAGCCATAAGGGTATACTTACCAGTTTTTGAATCTAACAAGCCAGACACGATAGCTTCCTTGACGCTGACTGTTTCCCCTGTTCTAGGGTCTACCACACCGGAGACTGCAAACGTCTCAGTCTCTATTGAATTCAAACTCCCTAAGCCATCAACAGAATCATTCTCAAATCCATTGGTGGAAGCAGCATCCCCATACTCCACACTGATCAAACCCCTTGAGATGGCTTCAGCTATAGGCATGAACTGTCCAGTCTCCAGATTATTATATGTCCCAAAATCTTTGTTGAGTACTCCTCTAGACAAAGCCTGTAGTATGGTCAGTTTCTGTTTAGTTCTCGGGTCCTCAACACCAGCAATGACAAAATTTTTCACCTCAGAAACTTTTGTCTGGAAGCCTGAAGCTGTATATCCATCTACATAATCACCACCAGCCATTGCTGCCTCATCACGCTGCAGAATCTGCTTCTTCACTGGTGGTTCTAGCAAAGGGGACACCTTGTTTCTGTGGCGCTCATGAATGTACATCTCAGATTTGAAGCTGGTGAGCTTAGACTCCTTGGTAGTCACATCGATGTCAATAGTGGGTATAACTCTGAAGGAAGGATAACAATGAAGTGTTATTGTGTTATTTTAAACAAGGTTTATTAAATATCACATCAATGTGGGTATAACTCTGGGGGAATAATAATAATGAGGTGTTATTGTATTAGTTTCAACAAGTTTTAAAATATATTTTATCATTGTCAATAGTGGGTATAACGTTAAGGAATAATAATAATGAGGTGTTATTGTAATATTTTAAACGAGTTTTATAACCCATCTTCAGTGTCTCATAATTGCCTTCAAGGAGGTCGGCCTTTATCTCATTTTCTAAGAACTGTGCCCTCCATCACTGTTTAGTCCCCAGGAAATACCCTGGTACCCAATTTTTGAAGATCCAATCTAGGAGTCTCATCATCATCATCAGGTGCCTTACCAACTGGCGTGGGTGAATATGCCTCTCCATAATCTGCGATCTTCTGCAGCATGTTTCAGTTCGTGTGCCGACACACCTCCATGCCATGCAACAAGACTGTCAAGCATCTTCTCTCATTGTCTTGCTCTATCCCTCCTTCCACAGATCTTTCCAGTGGTCACAACATATTCTATTTTCCCTCTTCTCATAACATGGCCGAAAAATGATGACTGTCTCCTTCTGATGTCTCTAGGAGTCTAGGCCTTTCAAAACAAAAGTTCCTCCCTTGAAATGTGAACACATGACCTAGCAATCAGGTTATAGCCTCTGATTCTTGTGTAATAACAAGAGCACCAGAAAACCTATGGGCCAAGATGGCTGACATTACAGTGACCTCAACAAATGCTGTGAGCTGTTTGGGGAAAACAAAACTGGACCAAGCACCATTTCATCAATATGCCAGGATGGTGATTGAACTTTTAGCTTAATACACTGTTCAGCTATAATCTTTATGACAATAGCATAATGCACTACACATTTTTAAAGAAACAAACAAGAACTATGCTCTTGGTTCAGTCCCCAGCAAGAGTAGGATTATTAGCAACTTGACTGATCATGTACTGAACATAATTTGAGACATTGTGAGACCAGGCACTAAGCATATTGTGAGACCAGGCACTAAGCATATTGTGAGACCAGTCACTAAGCACATTGTGAGACCAGGCACTAAGCATATTATGAGACCAGGGACTAAATACATTATGAGACAAGGCACTAAATACATTATGAGACCAGGCACTAAGCACATTGTGAGACCAGGCACTAAGTACATTATGAGACCAGGCACTAAGCACATTATGAGACCAGGCACTAAGCACATTATGAGACCAGGCACTAAGCACATTATGAGACCAGGCACTAAGCACATTATGAGACCAGGCACTAAGCATATTATGAGACCAGGGACTAAATACATTATGAGACAAGGCACTAAATACATTATGAGACCAGGCACTAAGCACATTGTGAGACCAGGCACTAAGTACATTATGAGACCAGGCACTAAGCACATTATGAGACCAGGCACTAAGCACATTGTGAGACCAGGCACTAAGTACATTATGAGTCCAGGAACTAAGCACATTGTGAGACCAGGCTTTAAGTACATTATGAGTCCAGGAACTAAGCATATTATGAGACCAGGCACTAAGCACATTGTGAGTCCAGGCACTAAGCATATTATAAGACCAGGCACTAAGCATATTATGAGACCAGGCTCAGGCTTTAAGTACATTATGAGTCCAGGAACTAAGCATATTATGAGACCAGGCACTAAGCACATTGTGAGTCCAGGCACTAAAAAAATGCTATGAGACCACGCATTAAGCACACTGAGACCAGACACATTGAGGCCACACACTGACCACATTATGAGGCCTTGCTAAGCACATTATGAGGCCTTGCTAAGCACATTATGAGGTCTTGCTATGCACATTATGAGGCCTTGCTAAGCACATTATGAGGTCTTGCTAAGCACATTATGAGGTCTTGCTAAGCACATTATGAGGCTTTGCTAAGCACATTATGAGGTCTTGCTGAGCACATTATGAGGTTTTGCTAAGCACATTATGAGGTCTTGCTGAGCACATTATGAGGCCTTGCTAAGCACATTATGAGGCCTTGCTAAGCACATTATGAGGCCTTGCTAAGCACATTATGAGGTCTTGCTAAGCACATTATGAGGTCTTGCTAAGCACATTATGAGGTCTTGCTAAGCACATTATGAGGCCTTGCTGAGCACATTATGAGGTCTTGTTAAGCACATTATGAGGCCTTGCTGAGCACATTATGAGGTCAGGCAATGAGCACAATATTACATGACCCAGTAATGAGCTTACTGAGACCAAGCACTTTACGAGATCATGCAATAAACACATTATGAGCACACAGAGACAAGAAGAAAAACCTACCTTTGGAAATATGCACTTGAGATGTACTGTGGTGGCTTCCTGAGGTCACTGATCAGCAAGACTTCCTCATTTCTCCTTTTGCCACATTCTTCTTCGAAGTGTCTGGAGTATGTTTCTAGTTCCTGGAAAGTAAATCAGATTCTAAGGACGTGATGCAGCAGCTATGGAAAACTGGGAGATAAAGGTGGTCATGGTAAGTACAGTGACTGGAGTATGAAGTCTACTTTCCTAATAAGGACTACTTTTATGAGGCTGGATTCATCATCAGAAATGCAGTGGTCAAAAAATAATTCTGCCATATCTGGAGACTGAACTCAAACCACTCCTAGCAATTAACCAACTCCAACAACTATGACACTGTGGCTCTTGAGGAAACTAGCTATTGTAATTATAATGCAATCTGGCAAGTCTCTATGTGTCAACTACATCCAAAAATAAAATTAAAAAAAAAAATTCAAAATTCACCCTAGGTACTCAACTAACTACATCACACATTTAGCTGATTTAGCCTGATCTTCCACTGGCACTCCAATATGTATGACCCATTCACAAAGATAATCAGATTTCAGAAATTGAGATAAGTTAACTACAGCTGACCTCAGCCATTCTATGATTATTTAAAAACCAAATATTTTACTATTTCCCTAAATGCATCTTATCATTTCAACGGATCTAGGCTCATAGTTCTATATATCAGTGAACACTCTGTGCTGCTGCTGCTGCTACTGTTATTCTGCTGTTAGAATTGCTCTTCTGCTGTTGCTAGAACTGCTACTTTTACTAATATATTGAAGCAATAGGAAATAAATAAGTTCACCCAGAGTTATCCAGTCATGAAAACTTGGAAGAGGCCCAAATACTAGGCTCCGGGCCTGTTTGTGTCAATGTGAGCAATTTCAACTTGGGCTCTCTGAATGTTTTGCCCTGATATGAGCAGGCTTGGTTTGTTTAAAAAAAAAATTATACTTGTTCTTACCACAAACTGTCTGAGTACTGTATGTGTCTTGTTCCACTTGTGAACCGCTGCATTGTTTAAATCTGTCTCACCTACAGATTGGAAAGAAGACAACCATAAACCATACACATACACACAAATTATTTAGTGTGTGAAAGAGAGAAAGAATGTGTGGGTATGTAAGAGAAAGAATTAGCGAGAGAAAGAGAAGGAGAGAAATAATGAGTAAGTGAAAGAGAATGAGAGAATTAAGGAGTCAGTGGAGGAGAATGAGAAAGAAAAATAAAGAGAATGAGTATGTGAAAGAGTTAATATGAATGTTAGTGCAAGAATATATGTGCGTGCTTTGTGTGTGAGAGAGAGATTGTGTATGCATTATTTCAATATGAAGTTTCTTATATATAAATATATATATAAACACATATATTTTTAATATGATTGTGTATGTGTGTTTAAAAATATACTTAACGCAAATGGATTTCATCATTCATATGTGGATGTGTATTTTATACAGACACTCAGACTATGTTTCCTGATGTATAAAGTATTTTATTATTCATATCTAAATGCCTAAGAAATGAGAGAGAAACTCTAAGTTGAATGTTGATGAGAGAGGCCAAAGCTGCTGAAATGGAATTCATCCAGCATATTGAAATGACCGCAAAGGTAGAATTGAAGAATAAAGTGTGAGCCCCACAAGATGTACAAAGACAACACGATGATGAAGATGATCATTTATATCTGAGGATTTCATGATTTCTTCTATCTGAAACAATTAAATGCCACCGACCTGGTTTTATCTGACTGATAAGCTTCCTAAACACAGCCAAATCTCCCTTTAACTGATTGTACTCGGGATCATCTAATGATGAGCCTCGTAACACCTGTGTTGCATCATTGGCCAATTTCATGTAATCTGACTTCTGATTGGCTGAAAGTCCTTGCAGCTGAAATTTAGAATATGGACATTAGACAGCACGAGTCAGTAAGCTATTAATTATCTTGAAAGTGTCTTGTTCACTTCCTTGGTGTGAGCTAAAAGTAACTAACACTCTATACTTAATTATCTATTTAGTGCCAACTGGTATATAGTTGGCTAGCGCCATATGGCCAAAGGGAGGTGTGACAGTGTACCTGATAAATGCTCTAGCCTGCTGGCTTGAAGGTCTTGGGTTCAAAGTCACATCGAGGTGGACATTTTTTCAAAACTGACCTCGACTTCCAGGGCGACCCAGCCTAAAATGCATAGATAATGGTCTGGGATGCAAAGGTGGCTGGTGTGATGCTGATAACATCAACCACCAAGTGTTGATGGGTTATAAGCATTTGAGTCACTTCATGTGTCCTTGGCATTTAAAGGGTCCTTTACTTTTACTGAGTATTTGCCCAGAACATCTCACGGCATGGAAACATCAACATCATCATGATCAGCCAATGTCAACAGTACTGCACACACAACACACTCATATGTGCTGTCTCTTTTAGCAGATGTGTAAGCATGCTGACTGTTACTCAGGATATTGACGATGCATGCACTTATGTTGTTCATTTCTGTGGTATTCTTACTACTTAAGGTTTCAAGTCAAGAGGACTGGTTTCATTGCACTGGGTTTTATGACATATGACTCAGTCTCTGTTTACAGAACAGTCAGCAGGCTAACTACAGCTTCACAGAAAGCTTAAACTCTAGCTAAAGAGACAACCTCCAGTGATCTCTGTTTAAAAAAAAAAAAAAAAACTTTACTCATTAACCAAAAAAAAAATGAGAACAGTTCATGAAACAAATTTACAACCTTCAGAGTATGAGGTAAACAGCTTGATCCCTTTGTTACATACAGACCTCCCTCTGCAAATTCTTACTACTACCGCATAAAAAAAAAAAAAGTAAATGAAGTTATATATAGGCTGGCTCTTCAACCCCTGACTTCCCATAACAACACAACTTGTCACACTGTAACAACATGTCACACTAACAACCTGTCACAGTTAACAACCTGTCACACTGTAACAACCTGTCACACTGTAACAACCTGTCACACTGTAACAACCTGTCACACTTAACAACCTGTCACACTGTAACAACCTGTCACACTGAAACAACCTGTCACACTGTAACAACCTGTCACACTGAACAACCTGTCACACTGTAACAACTTGTCATACTGTAACAACCTGTCATACTGTAACAACCTGTCATACTGTAACAACCTGTCTGCCTGTAACATCCAGTCATAATGTAACAACTTGTCATACTGTAACAACCTGTCACACTGTAACAGCCTGTCACACTGTAACAACCTGTCACACTGTAACAACCTGTCACACTGTAACAACCTGTCACACTGTAACAACCAGTTATACTGTAACAACTGGTCATACTGTAACAACCTGTCATACTGTAACAACCTGTCATACTGTAACATTTTTTTTTCTTCTTCTGCGTTCGACATCAGTCATGCTAAACATTGAGTCCCGCTTGGGCCAAAAATAGGATTGTGCGTTTAAGGTCGCCACCGGTCCCCCATAGCTTCTCTTGCAGTATGGATCTCCTGGGCCAGATCCACAGTCTTTGCTGGGAGAGGTAAGGGCAGTACTGCAGTATGTGCTCAGGGGTCTGTCTTTCTGCTCCACAATCACAGGCAGCAGATTCTTTTATGCCTATCTTGTACAGGTGTGCTCGAAGACCACAGTGTCCAGTCCGAAGTCTAAAAATTGATGTTTGTTCTTTCCTGTTGAGTTTGTTTATGCTGTCACTCTCTGGTCTGTAATCTCCATTCTGCCTTCTCCACTCCCGCTTGAAAGACTGCTTTAGCGCTGTTTTGGTTTCCTTGTAGCTGTGTGGTGAATGAGGTTGTGGAAGATTACTCCCAGCTTTTGCCAACTTATCTGCTCTCTCATTTCCTTGAATACCACAGTGGGCTGGTATTCACTGCAAGACCAGTTCTGCTTCCTTGGAGAGTAAGCCAATGTTGGTCCTTAGATCTGCAATTAGTTTGTCTTGTTTTTTTGCTTGATAGTGCTTGGAGAACAGACAATGAGTCACTAAGTATAACAATTTTGTGCCCTCTGTGTTCTTGAGTGATGAGATGTTGGACTGCAGAAAGGAGGGCAGTTGCCTCAGCTCTGAAGTTAGTGCAGATGTCACCTGCTGGTAGAGAGAGTTTCTGCTCTACCGCTAGGGGGTTTAATGTATATTCCACAACTCCCCTTTCTGACTGCATCTGTAGCAGAGCCGTCGGTGAAAACCTGAGTCCAAGTGGTGTTTGGATACTTCTCAGCCATGGTTCTCTGTTGTGTCTCCATCTGGGCATCTTTTGAAGTGATCCCTGGTACTTTTAGGACCACATTTGCTTTCTCTGGCTTCCTTGTGCATGGTTCTGGCCTAAGTTTTTCGCACAGTGCTACATCTCTTTCAAGCAGATCTTGGTGCTGTCTGTACAGTTCTCATACTGTAACAACCTGTCATACATGAAGTGTATACTATGTAAGTGAAATACAGGACCCTTAACAGGCCTTCAGGTGAACAACAGTGTCCACAGCTCAACTGTTGAACCTTCTTCCACAACAAATAAAAATACCACTAGTCTCTTCATATACAATCGGAAAGTGTTCAAATATTATCTGAGCACAGATTACATGCCCCCTTGAAAAAAAAATTATTATGTTAGAAATAGCGTTCATTTCCCCTAGATTTTTTACAATTAGACTAAAGTCCAGATGTGGATAAACACCCTGACCTTTCTGTTAAAGTTAAACAAAGAAGACAAATAAGAGCCTGGGTTACCATTTCTGGCTGATTTGACCAGGGAGCCAAGGTAAATTTAGTAACAATTATGCTTTGATGCAGAATCAAACCCATGACCACCAAGTTGGCAAGTTAACATGAAGTTACTATGCCAGGTTGGCTCAGATACACCATGTACTTTTATTCTTAACATGAAGACTGGAGCAGATCAGAGGTTAAGGCATCTACCTCTGGCTCAAGCAGGCATGTTTCTCTCACAATGTTAACCGGAATTATAGAAAATAAGAAACAAGAATGTCAAAAGTCCCCTGATCTTTTGGTAGTGGACTTGACAGTCTCAACAGCCCCCCCCCCCCCCCCCTTTCTTCTTTTTCCTCTTTCTTACCCCCACCCCAAAAGGTAGGAGCTGAGTATGGAGGGGGGGGGGGTAAGAAAGGGAAAGACAATATATAATAGAGGACAGGCAAGACAAAGACAGACAATGCTACTTACCTCCTTCGACTGTGTCTGAGACACCATGATTGATAAAAACTGAGCTAACTGGGATCTCAGTCGTCCGGCAGCTGTCTGACAGTTGACACAGATCTGTTCCCGCAGCCTAGCGACAAATATCATGAAGAAGCAACTTTACATTCCTTTACACAGAAGTGATATAATAATCTGATTGTTTCTTTTCTTCTTCTTATTCTTCCTTCCTTCTTTACTGCTTCAGGTTTTGAGGAAGATATAAGATTCTGCTTCTTGCCGCCTCAACCATGGATACATTTTACTGTTGTTGCATTTTCTGATGTTATCTTGCCATCTTGTTCTTAGTCCACCTCATGCTCTGTGTCCCTCTCCTTATTTGGTGAATATCTTGTAAGACAGATTTTTCAAAGCATTCTCATTTATTGGGCAAATTATATTATTTGCATTCAAAAGAAACCGGGACCTATAGATTTAGAGGTGAACATCTAGCCACTTCACCATGGTGGCTCACAAAATATCTGTATACTGTACACATTATTTAAAATGATCAGTGCCTTATGTTCAGTGTTACCACAACTACCTCTGGGGCTTGTGCTTTGAATTTTTCAACTGAAAAATGCTAAAATGGCTCTCCAGATTTCATCAGCTGGCTTCAATTTTAATTAAATGTGGATCTGTAAAACTGAGGTATAAGTGTCTAAAAGGTATGAGTATATGGGTTCCAACACCTTGCCTTTGATGGATATCAGAAGGAAACAAAAAGGTCAAAAGAAGAGGGAGCAGAGACAACAGAAAGGAGAAATCAGTACTGTGACAACTGAGGAAGAGAGATCACTCTAACTAACCAAGTTCCTGTAGTGATTCTAGACAGTCAGTTATGGACACTCAATTCTGGACACTCCAATCTAGACAATGATTTAGTCATGATAAATAACTCACTTGCTGACTTCTTGAAAACAGCTGGGATCTGGAGGAGGTATCACTAAAACAATGGCAGCTACTTCTGTTTCTTGACCACTTGAGGTTCGAACCTAAATACATTAGATTAAAACATATACTTCATAATCATAATTGTGAAAGTCTGCCACTTAATTACTTTGATCTTTTGATTTCTTTCTCCATTTCCATTTTTCTACCTCCATTTAGGGAGTCGCCGTGGCGTAGCGGCTAGACGCTCGCATGCGGATCGGAAAGTCGTAGGTTCGCTCTCTGGTGGAGCCAGACTTTTTCAAAAATTACCTTGACTCCCAGGTTGACACAGCCTTAAGTGGGTACCGGGTGCCAACCCGGGAAGTAAAGGCGGCTGGTGTGATGCCGACCACATCACCTATCTGCTGCTGATCAGTCTATAAAAAAATATAGGTCTGGCCCTATATGCCCTACATGCCTAAAGGTGTGGAAAAGGGACCTTTACCTTTACTTACCTCCATTTATCGCATTTCTCATTTGACTTCTCTTACTACATCCTACCACCACTACTTCAGCAGCATCAGAATTCTTCGATTGTCTCATTACCTTCCCTCTCACTACCAATTTTGCTCCAACTGCTCTCTCTATCTCTCTCATTCAATCTTCTCCATCCCTCTTCTCTTCATTCATTCACTGCCTCATGTAGTTTCAGTTCACTAGGATTTGTGTAGAAACCACCATACACACATAAAAAAAAGAAAGATTCACTAGATCAATGACTATTCAACTGGCCGCCCATGGACCAAATCTGTTCTGCAGAGGCCTAGCAAGTTGCCAATGGATCACTGTCATTTTATTGTATTTACGATCTTTGTATGCTGTGTTTTGGTCCTCTGGCTCATGACAATCCCCATCTGCAAAATTTTAGCCCCTGAGTAAACTTAGTTGAACAGCCCTGCACTAGGTACAGCTAGTAAGATAGTATGCTAAACACCACAAAATCAATTGGTAAATGTTGAATTAAGAATCAACATCATAGCATTCGGGACACTCCCATAAGTGCTCTTTCCCCAGCTTCAACAGCAAGTTAAGAGTTTCAATTCTGGTGGCACAAAGTAACTGATTGTTTATAACCATCTTGCCATTTCCTTAAGAGTTGAGCGTCAGCCAGATCCCCTAGCAACTCCTCACAGCACCCTTCTCCTCAAACTTAATGATCTATTTGTGCCTCCACACTGTTCACTGGCTCCCAAAGGGTCCTCACAACATCTAGCTTGTCATACATCAATTCAATACAAAATGATGCAGAACTAGCCAGTCTATCTGCTGCTCATTTCCCAACACACCGGCATTTCTTGGAGATAATATCCAAAGGATGCTAACTACCTGGGACCTCTGAAGCAATGCTTGCCCCTCTGCACGGAGCATGCCTGTCTCAACCTTTCTCAGCATGCTCTGTGAGTCAGTTACAATTACGACATGTGTGTACAGCTGATTCTCAAGCCAGCAGAAGACAGCAGTGACTGCCTCCACCTCCATTCTCAAATCAGACATTGGGATATCATATCATATGAAAAAACCATCACAATAAAGAATTACAATTCAGACATTCAGAAATTACAACAACAAAAAACTGGTGGTGGCAGTCATGATGATGATGATAACAAATGTGGTGCCAATGTGACAGCATGATGACAGTGCTGATAACAGTGGTGGTTGCAGTGAAGGTGACAATGTGACCACAATGTGACGGCATGATGACAGGGCTGACAACAGTGGTGGTAGTGAAGGTGACAATGTGACGGCATGATGACAGGGCTGACAACAGTGGTGGTAGTGAAGGTGACAATGTAACCACAATGTGACAGCATGATGACAGTGCTGATCACAGTGATAGTAGTGGTGAGAGTGACAATGTGACAGTGGTGACAGTAATAATGATAGTGCTGGTGGTGGTGGTGGTGGTGAAGACAGTGGTGGTGTAGATGATGGTAGTGATAGTAAAATGGTGGTAGCAGTTGTGATGTAAAATTAATTTAAGCAACTTACCACCCAGCGCTCTGAATCGGAATTATCTACAACAATGACTTCTTCATCCTTCTCTAAAGACACCTGTTGACAACATTTTTCAATAAAACTTTTATAATAAGTTTATCTACAATGGAAATAAACAGTAAACTACTGACAATGTATAAATCCAAAACAAATGGGTCGATTTTTTTTTTTCCTTAATCCAAAATGGGTCCCCAGACCCACATAGGAGTGATAGTTGAACACAATTCTACACAATTTATGCAGCAAAGCTAGCCAAAAGTGACGTATCTAAAAGTATTAACAGAGACAGACCTACATTATTTATGGATCAAATTCAGTTATAATTACAAATGTGAAAGGATAAAAATTACATATTTGTACAGAGCAAAGTAAAACAAGACACTTGATCAAACAAACAGCTCTACATAATGTATTGATTAAAGCATGCCAAACTTAGGGAGCCAAGTGTGCATAAATGAGCATACATCAAAGACAAAACTAAACTGAGCCAAAGAAGTCTGGACTCACATGCTTGTGTTCATATTTGACTAGAGCTTGGGCTCGGACTGGCCAGTCTGGCAACTCCTTACGGTAATGGATGGGGTGAACTTGTCGGCTTCTCTCAGTCAGACGGTCCACTCTGCCCTGGTAGTCTAGCAGCCTGTTTGTAAACATCTGAAACAGATTCACATAAGAGTTACAGATCTTCTTATAGATACACTGATTCAACTGTGACATAACAACATCATGCCGGCTCTGCCGTGGTTGCAGATGACTGGCCTAAAGATTGCTCCTACACTGTCAATGACAAAACTGAGAGAGAAGAGAAGGGGAGACAGGGGAAAAAAAGACAAAGAGAGAGAGAGAGAGAGACAAAAAAAGGAAGAGACAAAGAAAGAGAGAGACAAAGAAAAAGAGAGATAGAGAGACACCGAGAGAGTGAAAGAGAGAATCAGATAATCAGGGTATTTTACGGGCATTGCATCCACATCCCTGCTAAGAATGCAAGAATTTTGAGTAAAGACAGCCAGGCACAAGAGGTATGACAAGTCTTGTCAACCACCAGTGGACTGGCACTAGAAACCACAGGACACTGGTTTATATGTTGATAGTGGAGTCTGAGCACTTATGGACGTGTCTAGAGTGCCATGAGGATAACCCATTTCATCATCGTGTATCAATAAGTTTGAATAGTCATGATTCATCATCTCACATGATTACCAGAATCTTCAGTTAGGTCTGTGCTCTTGTCTTGGTTATCTCAAGTAGCCAAGCATTGTAGGTATTCATCTGTCTTTTACTAGCTCTTTTATCCCTCAAGTTTTCCAACTATCACTCAGTTTTCAAGTTCATTTCTTCAAAGAAATCTGCTCCAAAGTATCTACATTTTATTCCTGTTCACTTGAGTTAAGAACTGACATTACAGTACACAGAACATTCCCATAAGCAATCTGTCCCCATTTTCAGCAGACAGTGCAGAGAGTTCCAGTTCAGATGGTACCAATGTGAAGTGTGGGTGTTGGCCAGATCCCTCCTCGCTGCCCATTTCTCTTCACACTAAACTATTTGTGCTTCTGCACTGTTCACTCCCTCCCACAGCATTTGGCATGTCAAATTCATCAACCAGTGGTGTGCAACCAAGAAGTCTATCTGCCTGGTTATTTCCCAACACACCTGCAAGCCCTGGAGAACATGTCCAAAGGATGCTAACTACCTGGAGCATCTGCAGGGAGCATACTTGTCTCCACTTTTATAAGCATGCTGTATGAGGCTGTTACAATCAGGACATCTAATTACTCACAAGTCAAACTCTAAGATCTCATGATTCCCCATCTCACGTGAGCAAGTCTCTGATCAGGTTCTTACCACAATTATTTAGCCAAATCATTCAGTTACATCGTTTTTTAGACAGACTCTCTTTAAAAACAGAATCTAACTATGAATCTTTAGACTCACCAAAGTTGAAAACAGCGAGGAATAGAGAGTGAGATGAAACAATGAAATTCATAATCTTTTTAAATCACCACAGATCACTGGCATCATGAGAGCTAGGAAGACTAAAATGGTTGGGGCATACCGAGAGAGTGTCAGATGACAGAGAGGTTAAAAACTGTGTTGTACAAAAGGCAATTAAATGTTCATAGACCATGAGGCAAACCAAGAGGAAGGAGAGATAATATCCAAGCA